TGCTTGTTATTAACCTCTTTTGACTTCAAGATTAGGATCTTAGTGTGTTTGTTTGTTTTCCAAAATAGATCACAGTCTTCTTAGAGATAGCAAGAGTTGCCATTTCTTTTGTCTGAGCATTATTTATCTTTAGGATCTATCATCTCAGTCCAGCTCTGACAGATTGGCTCTTATATGATCTGTTTTATCTATAACACATAACAGAAATTGATTACATCAGACTTCCAAGGTCTCTGCTGTTGAATCCAGTTTATATTCAGTGATTCTTTGCACCTCTTAGAAAGGGACAAGGACCCAGCTGTCAACAACTAGTTTCCCGAGTGGCATGAAGTGGTGGCAGCTAGTTTGAAGGTGATAAAAAGTGCCTTGTGATCTTCTGAAGAGAGGCTGGAGCTGTGTAGCAATCAAGCTCTTGAGGGGTTTTGTGTCACGTTGGTCACTGCTACTGAGTAGTCTAAAAAATAATCTGGGCACTCGTTTATATAGAGCTGCTGTGTTGAAGTATTCTCTATTAGTTTGAAACATTATTTGTTGTGTTTCTACATTATTTTTGTTGTGAATTAATTGTTAGTGTTTCATATTTGTAGGTATATTCTGCCTTGCTCATGTGTCTTGTGTCAAGCATCAGGTGCGGAGTACATCTGATAACTGTGTGCCATTGATGAATAGAAACAGATAACTCGCATGGACCATTGAAGTGCAAATTGTTTTAATATTTGTCCCATCTCATAAGAATTTTCTCTAAATCTGAAACTATACTTAATCATGCCATATATTGGGCTGTGGTCCATGAAAGCTTATGCCAAATAAAACTTGTTAGTCTTTAAGCTGCTATAAGACTCTTGATTGTTTTGGTGCAACAGATAGAGATTGCCTTGGAAAATCCCATATTTACCTTAGGTGCATTAGTATGTTTGACAAGAGGGACTGGTAGTAATCTGATGGCGTCTGTTTCATTGTTACAGCGAAATACTGCAAAGCTGATATGGGAAATTTGGCAGTTATGCACGATTAGAATTGGCTGGAATCCTTTTGAATTGGACTGCTTGTGCAATGCTTTTCACTCACCTGGAATTGGACCCATCTTCTAGCCTGTCTTTGACCTACTTCTTGGTGTTGACATTAAAAAAGGAACAACTGCCCATGCTTCTTGAGAGGCCTAGGTCTTTATGGGAGGTGTGGTCTTGCTGTCCATTGGGGTCTATAAAGGGCATCTCCCAGAGAATTGCACCTCCCACAAAGACGTGGGCCTCCCAGGAAGAGCTAGTTGTACATTCACAACAAGAAACACAGGCCCCCAATAGCCTTTTTCAAATGAGTGAAATGTAGGTATTTGTAGGTATGCGTCTGTATACTGGAATACCTGAAATTCTGCCTGGGGAATTCCTGGAAAATTCTGGGAGTTGGAGTCCAAAAAACCAAATGGTATTCTCTTAGTAAAGACTTCAGTGGTGCTCAATAGTATCATGGCCCCTGCCTTGTGTCCTAGCCACCATGCCTTAATACAGAGGTGGGAATTCTGGATATTGTTGCTAGAACACATAATGCAGTAGTTGAGTTTTCTTCAAGCTGTGTTCGATAGACCAAAATAAAGGGCTGTTTAAAAACAACTCTATATACACTATCTCAAAACTATGGTTTTGCTGTGTACTTTTAACCTTTGCTATTTGAGTGTTTTGACTTCATCCCACCTGGGTCTAGCTATTAAGAGAGTTCCGATTAATACAGAATGGAGGAGTCAAGTCACAGATAAGATTAGGCCAACTTTGAATCTTATGCTATATTATTGTTTTATTATTTGAAGAGATTCTCATGCCTTCATACCATATTTTTTATTTTCTGTTATTGTGCCACAGAGGCTTAGATCATGTTATCCATGGCCCTGAAAATACTGTAAATACACATTTTTGTGAGAAGCCTTTCATGTTTTATTCTCTTCCTCTTTCAAGCATTTTCTGTATTGAAGAATTTTATAGAAGAATGGTGGTCTGGTATCCTCCTTAATAGCATTTTAATGTATATCCCATATTTTATTTTAACTTGTCATACAGCACTAATAAATGCATGGCTGTAGCCCTGCTTATTTATTTATTTTATTCCATTTATTTGATTTTTATACCACCCATCTGGCTATTAAGGTCACTGGGTGATTTACAAATTCCACAACATTCTAAACAACAGTACAAAAGATTAATCTAATGTGAACTTAAAAACAAAAATACGACAACAATGACAAGAGAAATAATTAAAGTAATAAAAAGGCATGACGGAGGGGCTGAAGGTGTAATTGTTAAAAAGCACCGCTGTATTAAGCTGTTCTAAAGTCTGGGAAGGCCTGTTCGAACAACCGTGTTTTTAGTATTGAGTTCTCACTGAAGGGGCCAAGTGAATTTAGGGTGAGAGTCTATTCTGGAGTTGAGGAGCAATCGCTGAGAAGACCCGATTTCTAATCGTCATTTTCTGGGCCTTTCTCGGGGTCAAAATTGTCAACTGCCCACCCTGAGAGGATTGTACAGGACAGGCAGATCTAATCAGAAGAAGGTGTTCTGCCAGGTATCGTGGTCGCAAACCGTTTACGGTTTGCTTATGTATATAGTATTCTTGTGCCGAAGCATGTGGGGGCATTCTGTGGTTACAGCTCCTTCCTCTGCTTGCTCATGTTGAGTATAGTTTGCAACAGAATCTAAATTTGCAAGCAATTGTTTAATTCTAGGGGCTCCCAAGAGATCAAGGCATGGAGGCTATGAGGGTGGTGGTTGTGATGATCACACAGGTAAGCAGGTGCTTGCACACTGTAGTTCCTTTAAACTATGTTTATGGCATAGAGGTTGACGGAAGGAAGACTGGGAGAGGCCAAAATATGGCACCACTCCTGTTTCAATTTGGGGGATGCTTTACACATAAGTATCATGTACATATGGCTTGCATCCGGGACAGTGGTGTAGCAATTACATTAGGTGGTGTAGCAGCATTTTAAAAGTTGTAAAAATAATGACTGAGATACTTATTTGGATCCAGTTATTTCTCTTACATCCATAACTTTAAACTGTGCAATGCTCTGATATGCATAAAGAAATAATCCAGTCATTTTTTCCTCTATTGTAAGTTTTGATTATTGATGCCTTGTTCCAAAATAAAAATTCTCAAAGAAACTATTTGTTTCTGATGTGTTCTAGAATATGTGATAATCATTTTTGTTTCTGGGAGCCACTTTGCAAGTTTTGGCTCTAAATTCATGTTATCCATGGCTTTTTCATGTTATTCATGTCACTTTTAAAGAATGGTTTGAAGAGGTATGTGTGTATTTGGGATCAACAAATGAGCATTAGATTCCAGCATGGAATGAGAGATGTGTATGTCATTGTGCAGGTTCATTTAGATGTTAGTTCTTTTTTCCCCCTCTCAGTCAAACTCACAGTTCTAATGCATACTTGTTTTTGACGTTTTATTGTGTTCAACTAATAGTGACCCTAATAGGAATTTCAAGATATGTGAGATATTTAAGGGGTGGTTTTTCTATTGCCTCCTTATAGTGGGTTTCCATGCCCATGCAGGAATTTGAACCCAGGTTTCCTGGGTCCTATTCCATCACTCTGCCCAGTATACTAAATTGATTCTTATTCTGATATTCTATTCCTTCAGTGTCATTGAAATAAGTGTGGCTTTGGCACCCCTCCATCATGTAGCATGTCATTCTTTACAACACGTTGTTCTGTAATTTCTTTGCCAAGTGACAATGTCATTCTAAATATTTGTGGGTTTGATGGTAAGACTTCTTCATTAGGAAAGCATACCATCTATTGGTCAGGATGAGCAATGATCACAAGTGCAGCTTAAGGCAGCTTTGTAACTGCTACTGGTTGTTAGTCTGGTAGGAGGTAAGCATTCTGCATTTCTGTGCTGGCTGTAAAGCAAAGGGCTTTCCTTTCCCAGTGACCAGCATGTAGATCTAGCAGGCTGGTAGAGAAGGACGGAGCAATGCATCTCTTCTCTGCTGTCTTGATCACTTGCCTCTGTGGAATTTCCTTGCCACCTGAGGTGGTCAGGTGGGTTGTTAAATACAAGGTTGGCTTATGGCAGCGATGGCAAACCTATGGTATGCATGCCACAACTGGCACGCAGAGCCCTCTCTGTGGGCATGCAAGCCATAAGTTGTTGGGTTGCTACCCCTGGCAGCCAGACCTGAGGAGGCAGGTGCAGCCACAGTTCTAGCACCCTGATAGGCGGCAGGCCAGGATCCAGAGCAGCTGGTAGTGGTGGGCCAGCCGAGCTGTAGGTAGTGTGGTGGTATTGGGCACGACTGGAGGCAGGTCCAGAATGGGGTCTGAAGGCACCTCCGTGCCTGGGATTTCTGCTTCCGCCGCCACTTCCGCTTCTGCTGTCAGTCACCGCCCGCTGGGTTGGTTTTTGTTTTTGTTTTCAGTTTGGGCACTCGGGCTCAAAAAGGTTCGCCATCACTGGCTTATGGTCTTGTTAGAAACCAGTTTTCTAATTGGCAGCCAGAGGGCAACTAGCTAGCTGACTTGCAATTCAGTAATGCCTATATTCCTGTGTCTTCAGTGACCTTATACTTGCATGTTTTTGTTTGATAACGAGAGTAAGAAGACCATTTGAAGAGGTGACTGTGAGTAAGGAAACAATGGTGCTGTTTCCTAAAAGTAAGAAAAAGAGGCATAAAGGCTGATACTTCCTGATATAAGGAAGCTGATGGTGAAGCTGACCATCATTCTCTCAAAATTCTGAGGTTAGTGCCATTGCTCAGGCATGGGTGAACTCCAGGGTTTGCAGCAGTGCAAAATGCTCAATAACATTGACCTTCCCTTGCTTTGATTAAGGCACAGGACCCCAGTTCGACGCGACTTAGAATCTTTTTGAGATTGCCAATTAAGGTTGTGTTCTGATAGTGGGAAGGAGTGGTGAACAATTATCTGAGAATTTCACAAGGTTGTTCTTGTGTCGCTGTAATTTGCAAACACTTAATGTGTTCTCTTCTTTTTCAGAATAAGTTTTACATAGAAACCAAACTTAACCGAGACTTAAGAAATGACCTTATAAAACTGTTTACGGAACATGTTGCAGAAAAGCACATTTACAGCCTGATGCGTAAGTAAAGTTTTGGGCTTACTTTTTCCCAAACAGAAGGACAGTTGGATCCTTTTATGTTGCTTAAGTTCAGGTTGTTGATATGTAGATATTAGTAGGAAAATGGAAACAATAGAGAGGCATACCGTGGTCAAATGGCACTTCAACATTTATTTAAAATATTTTTTACCCCGCCTTTCTCATTAAAAAGGTCCCAAGACACCTTAGATCATTAAAAAACAGCATTTAAAGCTAAAAACATTGTGTACAAATACTAAATATAAGCAAGCAAACACCACACTAAAAGATGGTACACAGAAGTAACACTAAAAACATATTCAAAGCAGTAAGGCAAAACCATCCATTTAAAAACCCCATTCAGGCAGCCAGTCAATTAAGGGAAAGCTTGTCTGAAGAGAAAGGTTTGCCTGCTTGTAGAAGGACAGCAAAGATGGGGCCAGGCTGGCCTCCTGTGGGAAGGCGTTTCAAAGTCCGGGGGGCAGCAACAGAGAAGAACCTCTCCTACGTCCACACCAAAGTGCCTATGAAGGAGGTGAAACCAAGAGATAGGCTGCTCCTAATGATCTCAGCACCTGGGCACGCTCATAAAGGGAGACACAGTCCTTGAGATAATTTCGACCCAAGTCATTTAAGACTTTATAGGTTAGAACCAGCACCTTGAATTGTGCCTGGAAACAGATTGGCAACCAGTGCAAGTTCTCTAACATTGGGGTTATATGATCCCTGTGACCAGCCCCAGTTTGCAATCTGGTTGCTTTGTGTGTCCTGGATCCGCTGAAGTTCCTGAACACTTTCAAGAGGCAGCCCCATTTGGAGCACATTATAGCAAACCAGTTGGGATGTAAGGCATGCATCACCATAGCCAGATCAGACCTCTCCAGGAACATAGATTTAAAAGCCCTGAGTTGTTTGCCAGTTATTATTAGACTGCTGGGGAAAATCCAATGTAATTGAGTGTTTGTTTTATTAAATGCAGTAATCTGTTAAGGAACATAAATTATGAATTATAATTTTTTGTCAGTAGAATTTTGCGCTTGGGTGTGACTACCTTACATCACTGAGTTCACAGTTTGTTTTTAATATAACATTCCATCTTTTGCTATGTCTTTAGCTTCTGCTTTAAATGCCAGCCGTAGTCTTCAGATACCAATGTTCCCAAGAACAAAAGTCTAACTACCTCTGCATGGGAACTCCCATAATAATAAAGTGAAAATGCTTCTATGTTGACTCTAGCGTCTGTTCAGATAGTTTGCTTTATCATTAGACTACACAGTTGATATTCGAACCTGCAAACATTTCCTTAAAATAGTATCACTGCATATCACAGTGATCTCTCTTTATGAAGATGCATTTTCTAGCTGTATGACTGATAGCACAGAAAACATCCCAGAGCTAATCACTGCGGTTAGAAAAGATTGTGGGGTGGAAATTTGTCTAGTCCAGCAACTTGTTTCTCACAATGCTTACTAGATAGTTTCAGGAAATCCAAAAGCAACTCATCAAGGCAGTGGCTTCCTCCTATTGATCTAGACATTTATTTGGCATCGTCGTTGTTTAGTCATTTAGTCGTGTCCGACTCTTTGTGACCCCATAGACCAGAGCACGCTAGGCCCTCCTATCTTCCACTGCCTCCCGCAGTTGTGTCAAATTCATGTTGGTTGCTTCGCAGACACTAAAAGTCCCATAAAATCTTAAGGAGTATAATTTATTTATAAATTTGTCTTCCATGAATATGTCTAGTCTCCCTTTAAAGTTCGATAAGGGACGTGGTGGCGTTGTGGGCTAAACTGCAGAAGCCTGTGCTGCAGAGTCAGAAGACCAAGCAGTCATAAGATCGAATCCACGCGACGGAGTGAGCGCCCGTCGCTTGTCCCAGCTCCCGCCAACCTAGCGGTTCGAAAGCATGCAAATGCGAGTAGATTAATAGGGACCACCTCGGTGGGAAGGTAACAGCGTTCCGTGTCTAAGTCACACTGGCCATGTGACCACGGAAGATTGTCTTCGGACAAAATGCTGGCTCTATGGCTTGGAAACGGGGATGAGCACCACCCCCTAGAGTCGAACACGACTGGACAAAAATTGTCAAGGGGAACCTTTACCTTTACCTTTACCCTTTAAAGTTCAGTGAGCCAGTGGCCTGTTTACATCTTAAACAATCTGAATTCCATATAGAAGGTTCTGGTACAACTTTTGTTGTTGTTTAGTTGTGTCCAACTCTTTGTGACCCCATGGACCAGAGCACGCTAGGCCCTCCTATCTTCCACTGCCTCCCGCAGTTGTGTCAAATTCATGTTGGTTGCTTCGCAGACACTAAAAGTCCCATAAAATCTTAAGGAGTATAATTTATTTATAAATTTGTCTTCCATGAATATGTCTAGTCTCCCTTTAAAGTTCGATAAGGGACGTGGTGGCGTTGTGGGCTAAACTGCAGAAGCCTGTGCTGCAGAGTCAGAAGACCAAGCAGTCATAAGATCGAATCCACGCGACGGAGTGAGCGCCCGTCGCTTGTCCCAGCTCCCGCCAACCTAGCGGTTCGAAAGCATGCAAATGCGAGTGGATTAATAGGGACCACCTCGATGGGAAGGTAACAGCGTTCCGTGTCTAAGTC